AATTATAGTATTATAATTGTTCAGGGCGGAGGCCTTGTGGAGGAGTCTAGGGGGGAAAGGGGGTTTGGATAGGTTTGTTGTAAATGAACAACATAGAGTGCGACGAACTTTCGGACCGGCGCAGTATAGGGGCCTTAGCAATTCTAGGCTAGGACCCGGGGGTATGGTGCGGTAAGACCATGCAGGGACTGTAAGGGGTATCATCATTGAACTCAGTATTTGCATGTCTTTGTATTGCGAGGAATTAACTAATTATCCAGAGCCGTACTTTAGGGCGTACTAGACTTTGAAGTAACCAGGGAGAAATTATAGAGTGTTATTTCATAATGGCCCCTTTAAGGAACAGGTCCAAAAATGAGTATTCAAGTATGGTACTCCTCAGTTTAGGGTTGAGGGAAGCATGCGGCCTTCTTTGCCTTCTTTTTCTGTGGCCATTTGATCTCTTGCAAAGGCACCAGCGTCGTCAACTTGGCCTTCTTCCTGCAAACGGGCATTATCATGATAATGACCATAGGCTTAATACGAGGATTAGTGTTATGGATCTTAACCATAATAGTCGAAATCATAATCTGAATATGAGTCGTAGTATTATGGTAAAGGCCAGCCGTTGCTTCTTCAGTCTTGGCTTCTTACACGGTCTTCCAGCGTGTAGGATTGAGGGCTTCGTCAAATTAAAGGTGCCCTTGTGAAGGTCCTTGTATCAACTGTCGTTTGGGTTTTTAGCGTCTGCGGTTACAAAACTCCAGTCTTCAACTTAAAGCTCAACTTTTCGAACCTGCTGTCCGGGAACGCTTCAATTACTGAAGTGCAGACTGTATGCATGTACACCGAAACCCTCAACCGCAGGCCCCGACATCGGGGCCTAAGCAATAAGACTTCGGTTTGGAGGTGTTTCATGCTAGGGATGTATTGGAAACCCATAAAGTCAAAGGGCAATTGTACAGACCACAAGCTGAGCTGTGTATGCGAAATTTCTGCTCCCAGCACCGCTTGCCTCGATCCAAAATGCGACAGTCTGAAACTGACAAACTCGGAAATCCTGAACCCTAAAGCCCTAAACTCCAAACCCTATACCGCAGTAGCTGACAACCGAAATCTTAAAATCCCGCTGCGTGGAGTGCCATGCCCAGTCGGAAAATACCCTCCTACAACCGCATGGAGCTTTCCAAGGATGGGCTACAAGTTCGAGTTTAGGGTTTAGGGGAAACCCTTCTGAATCCTAGTTAGATTACCAACCCCAACACTTGAAACCCTGAGGTGGCTGCTGCTTGAACTCCCAAACCCCGAAATTTATGGGTTTACCCTCTCAGAACTCGGACAAGCCAGGCGAGGATCCATGTTCGATTTATGGGTTTAGGGTTCAGGGTATCTAACACGACATCCAGGTCTTCTGGGGTGTCAGGATTTAGGATCTAAGCTTTTCTGAGCCTCAATACAAACCCTACCCAGAGATCGCAATGCCCCTTGGAACCAAGGAATATACCTTAAATTCTAGGGGGCTTGATGTTATGATTTAGCGTATATTCCTTAATTACAAGTTGCCTAAAGCTGCTGTCAGGGGGTCTCCTGGCCGGACCTGTGCCCAGCACCACTAAGCGGCCACGCTTTAACCTCGTCAGCCGTTGGTGGTTCGGGGTTTATAGGTTCAGAACGAAGGAATTAGGATTTAGAATTATTGGGTTTAGGGATTTTGGTTATTCGCCTCATGTGAGTTTCAACGTTGGTGCAAGTTCCGGAAAGAAACACTGACAGCATTGAAAAATAATCTATGCGTAGTAATGGCATGTAACGCAGCAGCGATAAGAAATAGGAACAGTGAAGCAATTACAACGAGTATTTCGAGAACAACAGAGCAGCACCAGCAACAGCAACAACAGCGTCAGCGCGACAAACAACAAACACAAACCACAATCAGAAGCGACCAACGCTCCCAAGAACATCCTCTGTAACAGACGACAACAGGAAACAGCAAACAGGTCGGTCATTGCAACTCTCGCAGCAGCAAGAGGGTAAGAATCATCATCCAAGACACAGTTGGACCGCACAAGCGGTTTCGAAAGGACGATTTGTCTGGGTCGTGGGTTTTGGGGCCCTGAAAAGTACTTGTGAATGGGTACCTCTTTAGGAACGATGAAAGGAAGTTTGAAAAGCTTCCCAAAGTGCCACCTAGATCTTTGCCTCAATTCCGGAATATCATGACAAGGCCCTTGCATGAAACACCCACATGGTCGAGTCTGTTTTCGACATGGAACAGCCAAGCAATACTTTGGGAAAGTGTACGAAGGCCATGACAACTCGAGTCGTAACTAGAGACCTCCGAGAAGCGATTTAGGCTATAGCAGCAGGCGAGTAAGAATAGGCATCGTGGCCTCATGAACATAGAAGCAGGTGTCCCTACCAATGTTGCTTGACCTGAACAGGTTTCCCTTCCAAAACAAGCGGGAATTGGGGTCAGCTTCTAGGGGTTGACCGGAGTTGTTCAAGCTCTGAATTCAAATTTATGACGCCTTTCCAAACGTCCTCCACGGACAGCCTCGCCTCAACCCCTTCCCACACCGTCTGTTCGAGCAGGGCGCTGCGAATCGTCGATCAATTCCAAGGCCAGAGCTTGTCGTGCCAGCCAGCCAACCTAGACCGGAGGATTGGGTTATTATCGGGGTTCACGGCTGTAGAGTTGCAGGCATTGGTGTCTTGGACTAGGGCGAAACCTGTGCTTTCTAGGGGCTTTCGGGTTTCAGTCTGGGGTTCAAGTTTAGGGTCCGAAACGATTTAGGCGCCGCAGTTATCTTGAGGACTTTGGAAGCAAAATTTCCCAAAAGCGTTGGTTTACCATTTGCGGCTGTAGGTGTATGGTTGGGGCTTAGGCGCCTTTTCGGGACTTGCTGCGCAGAGTGCTGGGCTGTCTGGTGTTTGGGGTGTCTACCCACAGTCCCAAAAACATACATAAACCCTTTTTTCAGCACGGACTGGGGTGCCGGCCAGCGCTAAACCCTAAACCCTAAATCCAGAAACCCTAAAGTCTGAACCCTAAGCCCTGAATCCCTAAACCCGAAACACCCGATTTAGAGCTGAAGAGGATTTAGGGCTCCAGGGTTCTAGGTTTTAGGGTTCGTTTAATGCAAGTTTAGGGCTAAAGAGGTCTGCGTAATAGTGGGGCTCGTCGGAGCAGCACTGGCAAGTCACAAGACTTAGTTGTTCAAAACGAGAAGGAAAGGAGGAGATTAGGCTCAAGGATGTTAGGTCCTCGAGCTGCCAAATTATTGCATATAGCTACCAGGATTCGAAGCAACCAGACGCCCAGCCACCTTCAACCCAAACTGCCTAGTCCAGAACCCTAAACCCTCAACCCCTCTACACTCCTAAACTTCTATCCTTCGGGCTTCGGTACACAGTAAGATGTTGAAAGCTGGCTTGACCGCGCCTGCCGTGCCTCAGAGCTCGAAGAGCCTTGTGCCAGAAGCTGCTTGTGAGCCCCAAGAAGCAGAGGCAAGTTCACCTGGAGAGTTTAGGGCTTTGGGTGAATGTGCTGTGGTTTGTTGAATAAAACAAGCGTGGGTTCGTTATGCGCTTTGTTTGACTAACTAACAACAGACGGAGAACACAATAGTTTCACAATGATGGTAATGATTGAGTTCTCGTTTCTCTGGTGTTTTATTCATGTCGTGCCCAAACTTATCATTGATAAGAGCACGCTTTCACGTACGTTCCAGTTTCTCTTTTTGACATTATGTACGAGACAACATTCAACATCAGTCTTTTCACCCGGTTTCGGGCTGAAGCTTACTACTCAACTTCCTTTCTAACACCTAGACTTAAATGCCGATGCACAAACATAGTCGCACAAGACACTCTTCTACTTACCACAGGCCCACTGCGAGAGAAGTCCTCAAACCGAAGCCCAACACCCCAGCATTTCTGAATGCCGCAGTCCGGAAAATAACTCTAGAAAGTTAGTGCTGAGCGATCAACCCCTGACCGTAAACATAAGAGCCAACCTTCTTTATTCTGCTCCTAAAGCCTCAGACCCTAAACCCCAATCCGAAAAGACTAAGCCTTAAAATCCGAGCCCCTAAGCCCTAAACCCTAATCCTAAATCCTAGGCCCTCACCCCTCAACCCTAAACCTTAATCCTAACACCCTAAACACCCCAAAACCGGAAACCTTTAACCCTAATTGTAGACTAATCCTGAAGACCCTAAACCCTAAACCCAAACGAAGGTTCGACCACGCCTTGCCAGCCGTATCGAAAATAGGAAATCCCGCCAACCGGCATCTGGAGAGAGAGAGCGGCAGCTTGGAAGTTTAGGGTTTAGGGTTTACGGGCTCGTTCTTTACGACAGCTGCGTAAGAATTCTGTATACCGTGTGTAGACCGGCGTGATGGGGTCGTAGTTTCAAGGAGGCATGGCAACCAGCTTTATGCTTGAATGTTTTTGGCTTGTGAAGCCAGGCGGTAAGCCAAGAAGTAGAGTCCGAACCAGGGGCCCTCCTTAACGAATCGGGGAGAGCATAGTAAGCAAGCTATAGTCGTGCTATAAATGAATGCGCTTGCTCCAAGTACCTAAGTAGGGTTATCTGCTTAATTACTTTGTCCCCCGAGACTTCCAGCAGATCCGTCAACTCCGAAAGGATTTACGGCTCAGGGCTTAGGGTGCTCGCTGGACCGATTGTTTTTTCGCAGGGTTTATAAGATCAAAAGAAGGTGAAGCAAAAATACTGCAACCCTAGACCCTGCAGCCTAAACCCTAAGCGCCTCATGAGACTCAGCCCATAAAGGCTGCCCCCTAGACCTGCCGCCTTGTTTCAGCTGAACCATTCAGGGTGTAGGATACAGAGCTTAAGGATTAATTCACCCTAACCTAAACCCTAAACCCAACGCGAATCCTGAACCCCTGAACCCTGAAACTGGCAAGGGATGCTTGGAAGGCAGTGCTCGGATCTTCGTGCCGTCGAGGAAGGCAAGACTAAAGGCAGCACTCGGCCTGTCAGGTGGGGGAGGGGGCCCGAAGGAAGTTTTAGGGTTTAGAGTTTAGAGTTTCAGAGTTAGTGTGTGTGATAACTCTTGAGGATTCAGCTACAACACAAGAACAAATATTTCTGTAAGAGGAACAGAGTAAAAAAAAAAAAAAAGAAGTCTTCATCCGGTTTCCCACAAAGGTTGCTGGGCAAAAACAGCGGCTTCGTGAGAGTTCTGGCGGTTCAGGGCTTTAGGGCATTGAGGCTTGCGATTTAGGGCGCAGGGGTTAAGGGTTTAGCTGTAGGACCTAAACCCTAGAGGGTTTTGGTGGTATGTTTGAGTTTGGGGCTTGAGGTGCTGGGAGGTCTGTAGGGCTGAAAGGTATGGAGACACCAGTTGTTAAGATTCGGGACCCGCGGTTTCGTAACCAGAAAACTTATCAGCCGGTGGGCTTACAATGACAAACACCAAGGCAAGGCGGCCAAGTCGTAGGGAGAAGCGAAAAGACGAGACACTCTGCGCCCAAGCCCTAAACCCGGTGTCACTTGGAATCCCTGTAGCACAAGTCCACCAGCGCTTGACACTCTTCAAACTGCCAAACTCAGGCAGGTGGCACCCAAAACCCAATGATACCGTAAGAGTCCCCAAATCCGCGACAACCCCTACTGACTGTAAAGCCCTGAACCATCAACATCTTACAACCGTAAATCCTAAAGCTGTAAAACACTGAAACCATGTACCCCAACATCATGGATCATCACAGCCCTCACCGTCACAATTACGTAAGTAAGTATATACCTTTATAGTTACTTTAAGACTGAATTTGTTTATAGCCTCGTTTACTACGTCTGTCGACAATCGTCCGCCTTTTCGGATTCGGTCTTTAAGGTTCAGGGTTAGGGGTTCAGTTCAGGACTTTTCCATTAGCCTGCAGTACCAGACGGCCTGCGAGCCAACACAAGCCGGCACCATAACGTCAAAACCCTTAGCCCTTTTTGCATCCAGGCCTATTGCGACTAAACCCCTAAACCCTAACTAGTCGCCTCTTGTCCGCCCATCTCCCGGCGAGGTCATCACGCCAGGCGGACACCTTGTCAAGTTTGGGGATTTACGGGTTTAGGGCTCTTAGGGCTTAGGGCTTAGGGCTGATACGGTGTAGGGTTTAGGGTTACCTCTTTTATTTGAGGAGGGGCTGCAGCGCACAAGCCCTCATGCCCGCCTCACCTCGGGGGTTAACTACCCCAAACTCTTAATCGGGGTTTGAACTCGCTCAATTCTTGGGATTAGGGTTTAGGAACCTTTCACCCTGACCCCAAAAATTCCCTAAGCCACTGAAGCTTCCCTTCATCTGCCGCTCCTCGGGATCCTCGTCGCTGCCAAGTGATCGAGCCGCCCGGGTGCTGCCTCTCCAAACTCGCTTGGATCGGCCAATGCTTCCAAAAACCGACATTCCAAACAGCTCAAACCAGGTGAAATAATATGTATTCATGAGTAATCATGGATGTATGCATGCGTGCATGAATGAATGAATGAATGAATGAATGAATGAATGAATGAATGAATGAATGAATTTGTATGTATGTAAGCACGCACGTATAGAGGGAGAAAGAGACTGAGAGAGACTTGGACCCCAAAGAAGGAATTGCGCATTTGGAGTCTTCGGGCTAGGGGGGAGAGATTATAATATGCTTATATTAGGGAACCCAGTAAGGAACAATACAGAATAGGATTGGCAATTTTTACCCCATAAACCCGAAACCCTAAAAACACAGTAAACCCTAAACCCTAGCAACTAATAAGCATTCACCCTCCTACACCACCTCAGTCCGAAGTCCTAGCCCTGGAACGGCAGCCTCCAGATTCAGAGCCTCGAAGGCACTGAGCGAACCTGAACTGGCGCTAAGCAGACAACCCTCCCTAACCCCCAGTTACCTACTATATAGGGTACTAGAGCCCCTATAGGGCCCTATATAGTAGGTACCTGGAGGGTTAGGGCCTAGTTACATACATGGAGGTTACTTATGCAAACCCTACTACTTTATAGCATCTACATGTAACTGATACAAACCCCTCTTATTCAAAAGCACTTGTCTGAAAAGACAGCCCTGCATAGCACTAACTTGGTGCTTTGAATCCTCTGAGTTAAGGTTTTCCCTCCTACTTAGCACGGATGAGCCCGCATTGCAGGGTATGTTCGGAACTGTGGGTTTAGGGTTTTTGGTTAGGGGCCCTCAACCCTAAACCCCAAGGCCCTTCACTTCACAGGAAACCCTGACACCCTGAATCTCAGTTCAGAAGGCTGTTCGTTTTCTGCAAGTTATTTAGGTAGCCGACTCGAAACAGTCTGATCTTCAGCCCTATGATCTGCAACGAGAAGCGTCCTACACTACACCCCGAGTCCCAGATCATGCGGCTAAGGCGCCTTAGTAAGCAGGGCTATAAGTGTCTTAATCAGGGTTGTAAGTAGATGCAGCTATAGTTGCCTTACTTCTAACCTTACTTCTATGTCCCCGTTTTCTTAAGTTCATTTAAAAGTAGACATTCTCCCAAGCTCTAAACGACGGAGCAGGCAGCCAGGAACAACTCAACATCCCAAAGAAGCTTTAATCTCAGGGCTTCGGGACGGTTTAGAGTTAGGGTTTAGGGTTTAGGGTCGAATCTGAAACCCAACCACTCCATGGTCTCAAGTGCGAATCACGGAGCTCTTGCGCGTCTTCCCCATCGGACTCCTTGATGCGACCCGGGGCTTCAGGTTCTCGTTGGAATGTTGAATCTCATGCTACCTCGGGGCCTCTAGAACTACAACATGTTTGTGTAGATCATAATAATGGTAAAACTATATAGGGGCCACAAGGCAGTATTGCCAATCGTTGCTTAGGCTTTTTGTATCACTCAACGCTAAAAATCAGCAGCTGGGTGTTTATGATTGAGGACTTAAGATCGGTGTCCCTTCGTCGGCTCCTGCCAAGACCCCTCAGCCCTGCGCCCAAAAACTCCGAAAGACTTGCTTGATCCCGCCAAGTGCCAAGCCTCAAGCCCCAAAGCCTGAAGCTGCAACTAACGACCCTCCACCCCGTAACATAGGAGCCTTAATAGTTAGAATAGGGTGTCGGGGTCCATTATACTTTAGTTGTGCTAAGGAGCCCCCTAAAGCCCATTGAAAGTATTAAGGCCCCTACATGATCGACAAACTCAGCGCCCTTTGGCCCATGAGATTCTGCCAGCAAATAAAAATCGAACCTAGAAGCCCAACTAATACAGGGGCCTTAATAATTACCTATACCATGTTGGGAGTTCCTTAGCATAAATATAGTAAAATATACCCCAAACCCTATTCTAATGATAAAGGCCCCTACATTACCAGTAAAAGCCTCTGAGCCTGGAGTCCTAGCTGTAGAAGATTAAACCCCCACTCTCAGGCTCCTCGTCGTCGAAGCGGCTCTGACGAGTTTGCCTGGCTACGCGGGCTGCACCGGGGGAAGGGTTTCTGCTTTGGGGGGCAGGGTCTCAACTGCAACCTACTTCTGCCAACCACCATCCCATCTCTGAAAACTATTGATAGAAGGGCTATCTGTCAATAGTCTGCATACGTATATTCTGTTTTGTTCTGAATTATATGGAGGTACTTCGATCTTTACCTGAAACACACATCTTGGCAAAATTTGGGGGTGTAACCCGGTCTGAAACCCAACCCCACAAGCGATGCCCTGTAAAACTGTCTAAACTATTACGGGCTTTGGGCTTAAAGTTTAGCTCGGAGCCGCTTACCCGAAAGAGCGAACCAGGATGCTTGAAACCCTACAGTCGACCCGAAACATTTTAAACCCTTGAAAACAGAAGAAACCTGGTATGAAGCTTCAAGGCGGGAGCCTCACACCTCAAAGGTTTTCTATAACCTAAAGGTTGGATGGGTGCCCATGCCCTAAACCCTAAACCCGTGGATGCAAAAACAAAAAAAGCCTCGGAGGCCCTCCGGCGCCTGCTCTTTGGCCTCTCTGGAGAGGCTTCGGCAGCTGGCCTTTGACAAGAGCAAGGTGTTTGTTCCCTCCTATGTAAGCTGTTTTTCCCTCATGCGAGTCGTATGTAAGCTGTTGGGGTTTAGGGTTTTAAGTCGAACCGTTTTTTAAAAGCTTGACAGCTTCTAGCGATTTCGGGCTTCAGTGTTCAACTGAGGATTATGTTGCCTCAGGGTTTAGTTGGGTTGTGTGGGTTCAGTACTATGTATGGCTACTATGGGTTCAGGATAATCAATAGAGCTCTCGAGTTTTGAGGTTGTCTATGCATTTAGGGCGGTTAATGGCCAGACACCAAGCCAAACACCCATCCTGCCCTGCAGCAACCCTAAAACTAGTCCTGAAGCCTTACACTCTGACCCTGAAGCCGAAATCCTTCAAGTGCTGAACTCTAAAACACACAGACTACAACTTAGACCCTGAACCCTGATTGAAGGATCAGGAGGCTGAGTAAGTCGTGGGTTCTACATGGAGTTAGAAGTAAAATCACGAACCTCTTTGGATGCTTGTGACTCTTGTGACTCTTGTGACTCTAATTACAACATACATGCCACATCCCCTGACCCTTCAACTAAGCTCAGCTCAAATCGAGGCTCATTTCGGTTCGCTCCGGCTCGCTGGCACGCGCCCGCATCGCCTGAAACACTGAACGCACGTGATCAAGCCGGCGCACCCAGTTCTGTTTTCCTGTATCATGGGGCCATAGTTTAGATGGTCTTTACCGCCATCTGGGGCGCTTACTTCGAAACTCCGAGCTCTCGCACATCCGTTAATTCCAGGCCTGCGTCACCCAAATAACCATTTGCTCTGCAGCGTCTTCTAGCCTTGTTAACATGTGCTATGAGCAAAGAGTCCTGGATATTCCTTATAGAGCGTTTCTTAGGGCCATGTAGAGTGTTCCTCATGTACGGGCCTTTATAATTAGAACCATTAGAATACGCGTTGGGAGTATACTATAGTACAGTTATAACTTATAACTGTACTATAGTATACTCATAACAAAGGGGACTATAAGGTTGGCCCATTTCTACTTATTCCGACGCAGCATACGCACCAACGCACGAGCTCCGGTCTCCAAACCCCTCGTCAAAATCCGAATCTAAACTGAGCTTTTTGCATCAGGACTTGTGCAATCGCCTGAATGTCCGAGCCCACAGAAGTTCAGCTCTCACGACTGCGCTTCCATGAGCTAAAGGGTCTAGGCTAACCTAGCCCTGGACCCCTAAACGCCTTAAAAAAATAAACAAATAAACCATGACAAAGCCGCCATGAACACCAATAAGAACCCCTTGGAACTCTTTCGTCCCGTTCCGGCCCGGTCCCGAAGGCGCTGGCTGCGCCGGGGGCCCGGTGCAGCCTCCGCCGGCTCTGCGCAGGGCCTGGGTGCATACATTTTTGGATTTTTTTTTTTTGAACGACCCTGTTTCCATGCTGCAGCAGTCTCAAAAGCGGTAATTCCGCTGGGCATTTGGAGACCGACCGATTTGGCCAATCAAAAGGGGGTTTAGGGTTTCAGCACTCACAACTGGGACAAGCCTGGCGAGGTTCCAAGTACATCGACGATAGCACATTGGCCAGGGGCAGGCAGATTCACCACACCCAAACTCACTCTCTAATTAAATCCCAACACAACTCAACCATCACATGATCTCCTTCTGGACTCCACGATCCCAACTTTGGCTTCCTAATCCAGAGCTTCCACTGCGCATTGCCCTTGCTGAAGCATGCACATGCAGCACAAGCATGACACATGGCATACCTCAGCATAAGCATCTTCACTCTCACTCCACGCACCAGAAACCCGCGGTCAGGTGTCTCCCTCTAGCCAGCATGGGCCACACTCCTCTTGCTGCCACCCGTTCCACGCATCAAATTCAGGGCTCAGCCATCTCATGCCATGCAAGCATCGCCATGCATTCCACCAGTAAGTTTAGGGTTTAGGGCTGAAAATAAGCAGGCCTTTTTGGGATCCCATATTTGGTAAGGGTCTTGCGGCTCAGGGCCTATATTCGGGTCTACATTCGGATCACCTTGTTTGCTGCTTCACGCAGGGTTTGTGCTGAAAAATGGGAGACATCGAAAGCTCCGACTTTACACTTGGAGGATCATGGGGCTGGCAACGTAGCTACAAGTAGATTTAGAAGCAGGACAAGCCTCACCAGGGTGCTTGTAGCTCTATTTCGATCCTACTTACTAGTCCCCGGATCCTTGATGTAAGGTCTGTAGATGTCTGGAGGGTTTAGAAATAAGGCTAATAACGGTGAATAGGGCTTAGGCCTCGGGCTTGAAGGGTCGACCAGGGCTGGGGGTGCATAGCTCAACCTAGCTGAATCCGTCTCGTGTCTGAGGCATTGCTCGGCTCAGCTAGGGCTAGAGTCTGGGCAAAGTTGGGCGTTGGGTGGTCGTTTGCTGAAAGTGGGCGATCCGCGCACCTTCTGCATGTCTGCGTCTCTCCAAGGGTAAAGGGATAAAACTTAGAACCGTCGAAACTAAACCCCAAAAGCTTGCAGCCTAAAGCCCCTCAAACCCCAGACCCTAAATCCCGCAAACCTAAAAGACCCAAACCCTAAACCAACACCTTCAAAACCGTCTCAAGCCCCACACCCTCAAAACACGAAACCCCTGAACCCTACGGCATTATGCAAGACTCTAAGATTACATGCCTCCCACTCCCGGCATTTCACAAGCCAGAAAATTCCTATGATGAAGAACTTTTAGAATTCGAAGAAGACTTTGGGGCACATCACATCACAAATATGTAGAGACTCTAAGAAAAGAAGGCTCATATCATTTCACAACTACAAAACAAGAGTTTCACAGCCCTAAACCCTAACCCCTTCTTGTTTGAACCCGGACGTGCTGAAAGCCAGGAAACGGAAGGCGAGGTGTGACAACTCCCATGATATTAATCCTAGACCCTAAACCTTAAACCCTACATTAGACAAGGGGCTCTTTCTGCTCACACTCAAGCTTCGCAGGCGGCTGCTTGCAGTCTTCGGGCACCTCCTCAGCCTCCTTGAAAGGGTTTTAAGGTCAATAAAGATGTTCAGATAGATGTTTCGCGGGTGTGTAAATTAAACGATCTATTAGTTCGTATCAAGGGTTCCTTCATTCAGGGTGACGTGCTATAAGCCCCCATAACGTGCCTTGACGAAGAGGGGGCTGGGTAAGCAGGTCATATATAGTGGGGCCTGTAGGTTATAATGAGGCCATACAGCTCGGCAATGCCTCTTCACTAGCATCATCTAGCCATATAGCTGACATCGTTCAACCCCTAGAAATTCTCTAGAGCAAGAACTCCGAGGGTGAGGTGGCAAATGCCAGATGAGCACAGCTACTCAGGCTTAACCATCATCGGCCCACACCAACCCCAGCAAACTGCAACAGTGCCCGCGAAAGCGCATCAACTGCGCCGCAGCAAACAAGCACGAGCACCAACAACAAGCCGCACCGTGACGACTAGGTTGGGCTCAGGGTTTAGATCCTGCCAAAGTCCTCGTTCAGCCGTCTCAACCGCTTTAGTCGCCGGGGCAGCTGTGGAGGAGGAGGAGTCACCTCCACGGCATATAGTACTCAGAAAGCACGATAGATATCCGTTAACTAACCACCATTTGCTTGAGCCCACATTTCCTAAACTGCATTACCCTCTACATACTTATTCTATTACCTTATTACCTGCCTCAAGATCTTACGCAGACTAGTCAGACCCCGTTTCTGGTGAGATCAACTTCTTTCACAACGCAGAAAGATTTCGACCATCGTGATGGAGTCGTTCCTTACACGACATGGCTGCCAAGCTGTAACCTGGTGTAAACATGATGACATTGTAGGAAGATTGCTAAATCAGGCATGCTAGCTACCGGATACTGCGGGATTGGAGTCCCCTGAGCGGCGCCACATCAAATGCATGTGAGGAAGTTGAAACTCTAGCCGTCCAGTCGCATCTTGATTAGGTCGAAACACAATGACTACCATCAACATGGCTGTTGGCAGCCGTAATCGAAGAGTCGTCGTCGTCGTTGTTGTCGTTGTTGTTGTTGTTGTTGTTGGCGTCGTCGTTTTGTTGTTGTTGTTGGCAGCACCCTAAACCCTAAACCCAATAAACCCTAAACCGCATGCTTTTTAGGAACGAGCTTCAAGCTCTTAGGGGCTCAGAGCGTCCGAAGCTTGAGCTGGGCACGTCTATACTTCCCTGCTAATGTAGGGGCCTTAACAACCAGAACAGGGTTCTGGGGCACACCATAGTACTCTTGCAATAAGGAACCCCCCCAAAATAGTAAAGGTAACTATTACGGCCCCTATTTTCTAGGGTTTAGGTGCCTTCGCTTCGGGTTTAGAACTCCGCATCTTGACTGAACTTCACCGATCAACCGTCCGCGAACCCACGCCCAATAATACTGGTCTTCTGCGACTAGCCAAAGCAAGGACCAACGAACAACGTGGATATAACGACGTCGAGATCATGTGCATGACTGCCCGAATCAATGCATTCAGTAGACCCCAGGTAAGGACATGAGACCTAACTACACGGTTTTGGGACGTATTATGGAAGAGTCGGCGCTTGAAACGGGCAAAACTACCACCATGTCGGTAGTTCTTCATATCCCATATTACCTTGACGTGCTAACTACATGACAAGCTGCGTCCACTTCCACTGATGGATCCGCCACTGGGGGGTTGCTGGCGACGCCCTGACAAGAAAATCCTAAACTCTAAAGCTCTACACCTACCCCCCTAAACCCTAAACCTAAACCCCTAAAGCCTTATCTAGTTATCCCTCATAGAACCTTAAAGAACCCTATACAAAAGAAAGAGGTCCCGAAAAAACCCTTTACCATACTGACGGGTCTGGTTTTGCTTTAGCTTTTTACGAACTTTATGCAAGGACTGGGCATGTATGCCTGCAATTTTGAGGATGACTTCAGAAGACAGCACTTTCATGTGCTGAGGCGGTTACACAGCCTGCGGCAGGAAGTTTTGTCAACCCGAAACCGATACCAACGACAATTGAGTTATGATTTAGGGGACCCCCCTGAGGGGGTATGGCA